GGTTTTCTCACATACGCAAATGACTGTCGCTTGGACCTTGCACGTGTGGCTTCACTTTCAGGGATCCGGCAGCCGGGATGAATTATTTATTTATGTCATGTTGCCTTTTTCTCTATTTATTCATTCAGTCGGTGCCCCGCCCTCCCCACCAGAGCAGGCCCAGGGCGGCTTACAGAAAAAAAAAATACATCTTTATAAATACAATTAAAATCGTTCATAAAACACCATAACCATTAAGATGAATACCCCAAAGTGCTGGAACGCGGTTCGAGTAAAGTGCAAGAGCAGAAGTTTCAAATGAAACGGACTCAGAGGGGATTAGAGAGTGTGAATCAATATAAGGGCCAGTTTGGTGTCCTGGTGTAGTGCCTGGACTCTAATCTGGGAGAACCGAGCTTGATTCCCCACTCCTGCACATGCAGTTGCTGGTGTGACCTTGGGTCAGTCACAAGCTCTCTCAGAGCTGTTCTCTCCAGAGCAGTTTCTGTCAAGAGCTCTCTCAGCCCCACCTCCCTCACAGTGTGTCTGTTGTTTGGTGCCGTGGTAAAGTGTGCAGACTCTAATCTGGGAGAGCCGGGTTTGATCCCCCACTCCTCCACTTGCACCTGGCTGGATGACCTTGGGCAAGCCGTAGCTCTGATAAGAGCTGTTCTTGAAAAAGAGGCGTTTCTGTCGGAGCTCTCTCCGCCCCACCTACCTCACAGGGTGTCTGTTGTGGGGAGGGGGAGGGAAAGGTGATTGTCAGCCGCTCTGAGACTCCTTTGGGTAGTGGAAGGGCGGGGTATAAATCCAATCGCTTCTTCTTCTATAATCAACATTTGTAGGGTTGCCAGCCTCCAGGGGGCACCTGGAGATCTCGCTATTACAGTTGATCTCCAGACTACAGAGGAGAAAATGGCTGCTTTGGAGGGGGGACTCTCTGGCACTGTACCCTGCTGGGGTCTCACCCCTCCCCAAACCACGCCCTCCCCAGGCTCCACCCCCAAATCTCCAGGTATTTCTCAACCCAGACCTGGCACCCCTAAACAGGTGGGATTTATTTATATTTTTATTTACTTGATTTATATCCTGCCTTTCACCTCAGGGGAGACCCAAGGCGGCTTACGTCGTTTCCCTGTGCTCTGTTTTATTCTCACAACAACCCTGCTAGGGTAGAGCAAGGTATCTGGAGAAGTGAGCCGTGACTCACAAAAGCTCATACCCTTGCACAGATTTTGTCAGTCTTTAAGGTGCTCCTGGACTCTGGCTCTTTTCTCCTGTGAGGTAGGGGAGGCGGGGAGTGTGTGACTGGCCCAAGGTCACCCAGCAAGCTTCCATGGCACGAATGAGGATTCGAACCCGGGACTCCCAACTACTAGTCCGACACTTGAACCGCTACACCACACTGGTTTACTGACCTTGAATAAGAAGTATAATAGGATGCGGATTGCAGAACTCTGAAGTAAATTAGTAATTGCTTTTGGATGGCTGGAAGAGTACGATCTTGGAATGATTTGTGATAGTAAAAAAAAATTCCAGAGGGATCACCATATGGCAGCAAAAATAGCCAGAAGTGAACATTAAAGGCTAGCAAGATTTTTCCCCGCCAAAAGCTTTGGTGGACTGGAGCCCACTTCAACAGGAGCAAAGATTGTTACAGTGATAACGTTAGATTAATATTTATTTCAGTGTCACGTTTTGTGGGCTAGAGCCCACTTGGTCAGATGGGTGTTGAAGTTGGCTGTGGTCCAGCAAACTGTATCCCGGAATACAATATCTTTAAAGATGTCCCTGCCTTGGCTCCTATGTATTTTTAATGCCACTAAAATCGGTCAGCATCCGCCTCTCCCCAAATACTAGAACTCAAGGGCATCCAGTGAAACTGATGGGCAGTTGGTTCCGGACGGACAAAAGGAAATACTGCCTCACACAGTGGCCAACCAGTTCCTCTAGGCCAATAGCAGGGCAGATAGGCCAAGGCCTTCCCTTAATGTTGCTTGCCTCCTGGGACTGGGATCCAGGGGTCGACTGCCTCTAACTGTGGAGGTTTACTCACCGTGACTAGAGATGTGAAGGGCCGGAAAAATTCGGAAAAAATCTGTTTTTTTTCCGTTTTTTTCCTGAAGCCTTTTTGGGTTTTTTCTGAAAAATTGAAAAAAAAATTGATTATGGAACGTTTTATGTAAACATGATGAATAAAATATTTTAAGACAAAGGTGTTCAAATATTTTCCAAATCATTTCTAATATATATATATATA